GAAACATCAGTTCCACGAATATTATATAACCAAGCAACCTGAAACGTTAATAATGGTAAATTAGCAAAGAAATTTAAAAGCAGTTGGATCTTATCTTGACACAAGGGTGCAAGAGTGCAGGTGCATGATAATATGAGTTAAATATCATAGACTCGCCTCATCAAGAGCAGTTATTATGATAGCATGAGCTTTTTCCTGAACAAGCTTTTCTCTCAAATCCTTTAACTTTTCTTGAACAGAACGACCAGAAAATTCTAGTGGATGGACAATAACAGGATTAATTTCCAGCGGAGGTCTACTTTTCCAAACTTCATCAACCAAGTTTGAGGACGTCTGGACCAACTTTTGTTGTTTCTTAGCGAAAGCACGCTCCCATTTCTGTGCAGTGTCAACTGATACACACCAGGGATCAATACCAATAGCTGCATCTTTTGGTAGATTCTAGCATAGATAATCAAATGATTGTGTTGAAATTGTAAGCTAAATCCATTAAAGCTTCTTTCAATGTAATAACAGATATTGAGGCGACTCATAAATAGCAGAAACTAGACTACACAAAAACTGTGAACTGAACTCACATCTACCATCCAAATATCAACAGCTGGGTCTTCCCCCATGCGCATTAGCTTCCACTGTTCACTGAGCTGCTGTGATGCCTGCAAAAAGTACCTTCCATCCGTCCACAATAAGGCTTCATTCGCTGTTATAAGCGCCAAGCCTACATGATTTTGAGACTTAGTTATAATCAACTAGATAAATGAAAGCGAATTAAGGGATAAAAAGGCACGCCAGAAGGGCATTGTGCTTGTGACAATTTCTAATGGCAAGTACTACAGTCATTAATGTGCCAAAACTCCACTTCATTTTGGTCATAACCAAAGATATTCAAGAGATTTAGCATAAAGATAATCATTTGATGATATCATTGCACAACCCCAGACATTCTTCTCAAAGTTGTTGCAGTCTATATCTCAGAACTAAATTTATCCACTCAATCGTGCAAGTGATAACAAAATCTTCTAGTCAAAAAATTTCACAACACCACGGAAGGTCGCTGGATTAATAAAAAGCAATAATTTTTTAGCTTATGTGCATGATTAATAATCTAAAAATCAATTCTTTTGCCCGGCTACGAGATCCAAGGTCAGACCTTCGAGTCCCAAAGGTCTCGACTTTGGTTATCGTCCACATCAAAAGTAATCAGACTTAATACTGCAAAAAAGGATTCGCTTTTACCAAATTAGAAAAACCAAACTTTCACACTGTCATCGAATGGTATGAAAAATAAATTAGTAAAATAGAAACAAACCCGCACTGCCGGTGAATCCAGATACAAATTCACGCCTTTTGTCCCGGTCAGAAACATACTCACTCTGCCACATCAACATCCACCAATTATATAAATTAACAAAAAGACTCAAGCGCCAGTCGTCCAATCAATCACATACACACATAGAGAGAAGGCTTTAAAAACTCAATTAATGCATAGAATATTAATACCGAAGCATCTTCATTACTGTAAATATCTACAAAGCCATATACAGGAGACGGACCTGATGATAATCTTCTGATGGAACGACAAGAGCATCGAGTTTGGGAGAGTGAGAGGCCATTAGAGCCCTCAAATTAACCAGTGTTTTTTCAGCCATCCTCGTCTCACTCCCTAATCGTGATTAGCGTCTTAAAT